GCTAAGTATTTGAGTTTCATTAAAAATGAGAAGGTTTGTAAAATATTACAAAAGGTTAAAACAAATAGGAAAAGCCTTGCCAAAGGTTTTATTATTTCTTAATTCCTACAAGTTCAAACTCAAAGAAGCTTGTCTTCGATGTTTGATATATAGATCCATAAGTAAGAAACAGATCTACTACAATTCAGAATCTGGTTTTGCAACTAAAACAAAGCAGCTCCATCATTCTTAATCTTACATATACATATATGAGAAAATTTATTGCACAAACAAAGATTTGAATCTAAACCTAACCCTATGCGTATATAACTTCTCTGGTTCTAAAGCTCAGCACTACGGTCTCTCACATATGTACCGTACTCTCCAACAGCCTCAGAAGCCTTCTCCTTCGCTTTCTCATAAGTTCCTTTTGCCTTCTCTGACATTGAATCCTTAGCTGCTCCATACCTTTCCCCAACCTTATACATTGCCTCCTCAAAATTTCTAGCTGATTCACTCCCTGTTCCGTATGCGTCCGCTGCTTTGTCTTTACCATACTCCATTGCTCGCTCCGCGGTTTCTGATGCCATGTCTTTTACGTTCTTGGAACCTTCTTTAGCTCTTCCGTATGTATCATGAGCTTTATCCGATGCCATGTCTTTTACGTTCTTGGAACCTTCTTTAGCTCTTTCGTATGTTTCATGAGCTTTATCCGATGCCATGTCCTTAACTTTTTTGGACCCTTCTTTAGCTCTTTCGTATGTTCCATGAGCGTTATCTTTAGCTTCGTCGCTCTTATCCGTCGCCATCTTTATCACATTCTCCGTTTTCTCATATGCAGCATCCTTTGCTTGACCAGCCTTGTCGTAGGCAAAGCCCTTAGCTTGACCAGCCTTTGAGAAGGCTGATCCAGCTTTGTCATATGCCATGCCTTTCGCTTCACTCGCCTTGTCATAGGCCATGTCTTTGGCTTGACCAGCTTTGTCGTAGGCTGATCCTGCCTTGTCGTAAGCCATGTTCTTAGCTTCACCGGCCTTATCGTAAGCCATGTCCTTGGCTTGACCGGATTTGTCATTGGCTGATCCCACCTTGTCGTAAGCCATGTCTTTGGCTTGACCGGCCTTGCCATAGGCTGCTCCCACCTTATCGTAGGTCATGTCCTTGGCTTGACCGGCCTTGTCGTAGGCCATGTCCTTGGCTTGACCGGCCACGTCGTAGGCCATGTCCTTGGCTTGACCGGCTTTACCGTAAACTGATCCAACCTTGTCGTAACCCATGTCCTTAGCATCACCGGCCTTGTCGTAAGCATACTGTTTTGCGTTTTGAGCACTATCGTAAGCAGATCCGACCTTGTCAGATGCAAAGTCCTTGGCGTAACCCGCATTGTCATAGGCTGATCCAGCCTTGTCATAAGCGTACTTCTTCGCAGATTCAGTCGCATCTTCTGCTTCATCTTTCTTGTTTCCCAATCCTCTGTTTCCAAGAGCAAATGATGTCGATCATATAAACAGTATTTAACGTATAAAGCGTCGTTTGAAACGCAACTAATGCGTTTTACATATATATCCAAATTTTAGAAACTACAGATTATAGTCATTCAAAGAAAGCATTAAGGAAAAAAGACAAGCGAAACCTAAACAAAAAGGTAAAATCAAAGACACTTACGTGGAGATTTTATCAGAAACCCAACCAGTCCAAGATGCGGTTTTGTCCTTAGCGTCATAAACCCCTTCGGACGCCATTTTTTTAGCGTTTTCCGCTGCGTTTTTAGCATTCTCTGCTTCAGTTCTAACCATATCCTCTGCGGTTTCTGCTCCTCCCCATCCATGGCATCTCTGCATCACCACCATCACAAACATCATCACCATTAACGTTCTTCTTTTCTCCATTATTCCCA